TAATAATATGATTATTTAATTTATTAATTCATTTAACAATGCACAGTTAAATGTATAGATCAATACTATATTTCGTGTTTGTGGGAGTGCGGAACTTACTCCGTTCTTCGATGGTATGTGATGTTTCTTGAAATTTATAAAAATTATTCACATCAGATAGAGCTTTTTCTCCTTTTGTATATACTTTTGTAAAATCTCTGCAATTACGTGTAACTTCTACGATTTATTATTTTTAGTTAATAATTATAAAGGTCAAAGAAATTGTCATAAATTTATGTGCTTCGATTATTTAACATTAAATATATGATTACGCAATGTAATTAATTTGTTCAATAATTTCTTTAACATAATTCATATCGCGTACATGTTTATATTTCTGAATTTTCATATCTAAAAACTAAAAGTTGCATGTTGCATGTTTATCAACTTCAGCCTATTTTCGTCATTTAAGTAAGGGTAAGTATATTTTCTGTGTATCCTTGTGTTGCTATTAATGGGTGGAAAATATTAATTACAAATGATATTTCATATTTTTTTAAAATTCTTAACAATTAAGAATGCTTTCTGCTTAATTAATTCATTAATTATTTTATGGTTGTTTATGTACATGAATTGTAAACATTTACACAATTATTTTTTCTTACAGATACAGAAAACATCAAATTTGTATTTGCAGCAGTGAGAGATACCATTCTACAAAATAACTTGAAAGAATATAATTTGGTTTAGATGGTAATACATAGAATTCAGGATGGACTCGAGAATTTTTCTTATACCCTGACCAAGGTATCAGCGTGAACTCTGTTAAGTTATAAATGGGGAAGAGGCGAAAAAGGCAGAAAATAAACAGTAATTTGTGGTGCCATCAGCATACTGTTGCTGCACCATTACAAGTGTACCAACTATTGATTAGTAAAATTTATAACGGAGGTAACAGCGATGAACAAATATGGACCTAAATCTGAGCGTTATACGTTCTTTCCTAACCTTCTCACTGTCAATACCAACAAATCGATTTAGTTTCGTACTGTATTTGTTGAATTTGTTACCTTTTTATAGATTAGTTTAGTCAATCATGCCTGGCTGACTGCATAATCGTCTGATTTTTATATAACAATACCACGAGCAACACGTAAATAAACATATAAGATAGAGTGCAGCCATGCCGTACAATGTCTGTCCAAGTGTTTATCTCAAATTGAGAGATCTCAGCAAGAAACTGAAGAGAAGAAGGACAAATGCTTTTTAATCACAAGTAGTCGGTGACACAAGTGAGAGCAATTCTAGTGCCATTTACTAGTGTGGTGTTTTTATTGCAGTCCTTTCTTAGATGCAAAGAGCCAAAGTGTTTTTTTTATCTGTGCCAGAAGCGACATCTGTTTGATGTGACTTTAGGTAATTAAGAGGTGAAAGATTGCAGATTCTTCTGCTGTCTTTTTTCTCCATAGAGGCTGTGTACAGAATGTAAGGGCTGCGATCTCATGCCGTACAATTATAATCTTGCAATTTACGAATGACATAAAAATCTTCAACGTAACAGTGGCTTTCCTTTCATCCAGCCCTTGCTTAATGGCACAGCATCGCGCAGCTAGGGACATGATTCAAGAACATATGGCCCTGGCTCGCATTGTATCCACATTACAGTGTACATATGTATGAACTGCTCACTGCCTGCGCTCGCTCATGCTGGCTAGCGCGCTGCCCACTGTTTGTATTCTCTAGTGGTTCGACTAACTGCCGTTCGTGCCACCTTTTGCTGTTCTATCAAGAGAGCATTTGTATAGAGGTGATAGAAACTGCTTTGCACGAACCTAGAGAGTACTTGCACAATAAAGTTCATGGTGTTGGTCAGATCAGTGAATTAGGGTGTGACGTTTAGACATGTGTAGCCTGAACGTCTAAGCCTGATGCTGCTGACACTGCACGCACACCGGGCAGTATACGTCATACCCACTTTGATTGAAACACTGAGTTTATATGAAAGAAAAAATATATAAATACATTGGATAAAATATAATAATAAGAGAAAACAAATA